ATGAAACAAGGCAAGAAAAAATGATTCATCGTGTGGTGTTTTAAGTCTGGAGATTATTTTTTGCCTTCTCTTCTGTACACTGCACTTCTCAAGACTGAACCAAAAATTTTTTTCTGATGGTGGAAGGGAATAAAGGAGGCAAATAGATGTGGGATAAATGAAATCACACAGTGAGTCCATGAATTGTAGACCTGATCATCCATAGCTGATATGCGCTCTGCCTCTGGAGGAACTTTCTTAGTTTGATGAAGTGAGCGTAATATTAATTTCTTTCTCTGCTATTGCTTACGCACAAGAGCAGGCAGATGTGTAAATGTTCATTTGCTAGAGAATTGCTAAAGGAGAAACATCTGATATTGCCATGTATCACTACCTTCCCATCTCAAAAAAGTTAGAAGGTAGTTAATTTAGTATGACCACCATTCAGTAAACAGGAAAGTAAAAAGAAAATCTGCATTGATAAGTGTTGGTTTTATGTTATTAAAGAGTAAAAGATGGTTTAGAAAAGCTGTTTAATGCCTTGTGTTGAAAAAAAAACAATTGAAACTCTTCATCAAGTCTGTACTTTGTGATACTGAATCAATAGAATAAATAAAAACTAGACAATATACAATATATGGTATTTTCTACTGCTTCAAATAAAAAGAATAAACACCATTAACCTTTTGTGAACACTGTCTCAGTGAATATGCAGCACCTGATATCAGTTACTGCTGGCAGAGGAAGCTACGTAATTAAATATAAGCTGAAAATGTTTTTCTCTTTCTTTTTAGGAAGTGCGGGAGTTTCAGAGTCTAGAATTTATCGGGAATCCAGAGGGCGTGGTAGCAATGAGCCCCATATCAAGCGCCCAATGAATGCATTCATGGTGTGGGCTAAAGATGAGCGGAGGAAGATCCTTCAAGCCTTCCCTGACATGCACAACTCCAATATCAGCAAGATACTAGGTAAGAATGATAAAGCACTGTTCTTTTAGTAGCAAAACTCAAAAAACTTTTGACTGAATAGAGCAGAGCACCTGCCATGACAGAATTACTGGTTCTAGGATGTCTGTTTTGCTACTTAAAGACTGCAGCAAGGACAGCAGTGATGCGAGCTTTCACCATACTGCCCAGCAGTATACATTAGCCATAACCTGAAATGTTCTTGTGTCTTCGTAGTTACTGAGATTTTGGTGGTAGTTTTGGTGTGAAAACAGGCAAAAATAGACAAAATAGACGAAAACAGTTCATTTCATTAGGCTGCTGAACAGGCATAAAATGACTGCTATCATTTATTTGCCTACATATTTCATCTAACTCAATTCTGTGAGACAACATACTACAGTATTTGATTTGTGCCATAGCACTTTCTGTTCAAATCCATGGCTATAGGGATAAGATCCTAAAATACATCCCTTTATTTTATACACAGACAGTTTTAAAGGATTTTTATTATGTTCCTGTTATATTAAATTTCCCTTTAGTACATGATCTCTATTACAATCTGCTTTTATTCTAAATATTCTAAAAATAATCCTGAAACAAAAAAAAGAAACATCAGAACTAATTTCCATATCCTCTACTCTCCACATCCCAAGCAATATTTGTTATGAACATCATCTACTGAATTTCATGCCATAGTCTTCCAACTTTTCACTGTTTTCTCGATTTCCCAGGACCATGTTCTGTCCTAAGTTACTCCTCTGTGACATGCTGAATCATACAGAAGGTGAATAAGGAGGGTCTCTGAGGCCAGTGAATTACCGTTCTGCAGAAAAAAAAAAAATGTGACCAAACTGGAGATGTTGTGTTTCTACTGATAAAGACTGTGCTACAGGACCTAAACGTCCCTCAGGCCAGTGGATTCCTTAAGCAAGGAACATCTTTACCTGGGCTGCAGGTCTCATTGGTTTTGTAGACAACTCGAGAGATGTAGCGCAATTGTAATGGCAGCATTAACCAGCTGCAGGGCTGGTAAAGATGCTGAGTTGGGACTGATCAGAGGTTTGAATTTTAGCTTGATCAGTGGGATTATGTTAGTTAGCAGGGGGCAAGTGGAAATGAGATAAATTGGTCAGAGAGGCAGAATGTATTGGCTGTGGATGGCAGATGTGATGATATTAACCCATGACTAAAAGGGTGGTACGAGATTATTAGATTATTTATGAGAACAGGATTGGAAGGCTAAATTGGTTATGTTGATGGTAAAATTACCTTATACTGGTTAAAAGGGATTATAATGGTCAGAGGTGTATGATGTGATTAGACTGAGGACAGGGCAGTAATAGTTTTGGTCTGTTTCTAAATTGAGGGTAGACCTGGTTAAACCTGTTTTTAAATAATCGGCTTCAGAAATCTACGAGATTATTCTGAATGGCCCTTTTCATATAGAAAGTACAAAAAGAGCTTGATGTTTTCCCTCTTAACTGATTGTTTTGGATAACAACCTCCGACAGCACGCTGCTAATTCATCCTGCTTAAAACAGGCGCTTGAGCTAGGCTGACATTTTACGCAGTCTCTGGGGATCCTGGTTGACATTTTAAAAGGCTTCTAAGCATTTTATAATACCCAAAAATCTGGTTTTAATAAGGCATTCTGCTGAAATTGTTAACATAAGGAATCACCTTTTACTGTTTGGCGCTAGATCAGGGAGATATGGGGACATCTTTTTCTGATTAGATATACAGTAGTTGGAGTAAAATGTGCAAATTCATTACAGATCCTGTTGAGGTGACAGACAGTATAGCTGACTCCAAACTCTTTCTGTTTGGCTGCCAGATATGGGGAAAAGCAAGGTCTGAAGCAGTAAGAGATGATGTTTCTGTTTCTTCCCAGCCTCACATTTAATTTTCCTATTCTACCTGTGCAATGGAGAGGGATGTCCTGACATCTCTCTTGACAGAAACGTTACAAAGGTCTTCCCTCAATTGCAAAAGGCCAGGCTTTTGAAGTCAGCAGGGAGCTCGCTGTTAACTGGCGTAGGGTGAGCAACTAGAAGCTTACAGTTCCACTGGGTATTAGGGGCTCTTTATTAGAAAGCCACAGTTTTTCCTTACCGTTTTTTTTAGCAGCACTGCTACACATAGAGGTCAGAGTACTCGTTGTCACAGAGAGTAGCTTAGATGGAGCTGTCGCCAATCGAGGGTCATTTTTATAGTAAAATGAGAGGTGCCCTTCCCAGCACTAGAGTAGTCTAGATTATGTGTGACACTGTGGTATTATGTTTTGAGCATAAAAATTAGATGCATGGATTTGTCACTAAATTCATCTGTGCATACGTTTGTCATCCATCTGTTCATTGCAACTGAAACTTGTGGATAATGTTGTTGGTTTTTTTTTAGTAAATGTTAAAAAAGTGCTAAAATTGGTCTGCTGGACCCTATCAATTTAATAATGCATTGTTTAGATATTTTTGTAAATAATTAATTTCACTGAGAAATTTACATAAAAAGATTAAGAAAAGAAGAAGTTAGATACTGCCTCCAGAAATTATCTTGTGGATTTGTAAGTGTGTGAATACAAACCTGTGCACATACCTATACATTATACAAGTGTTTGTGTATGTGAGGTTATTTTTTAAATGTAAAATCAGCCTGATTCAGATACTCAGACTGAAAAATGTCAGTCAAATGGACTAAAAGTTAGGCAATATTACAAACAGCTGAAAATTCTTGTCGGAGAAACTTGTTTTAAAATCAGCATCAAGCAGAGGTCCTAACCCCATCTAGCGCGTGCGTGTGTGCACCTGAGCACAAGTGCCGGGACACACATGGGGGCCCCTCATTTCTGCCCTGGACTCAAATAGCTGTGTTCACAGTCACTGTGTGAACACAGCTCTAACTGCCCTAGCTCACTTTGGGGGCTGGAGCCATGTTTGGTGCTGAAAAGTCTTATAATTTCCTCCTTTATTTGCCAGCCACCGCATCAGGGAGAACTGTGCAGGAATCCTGCTTGACATTATGTATGCACCCAGGGAGGGGTTCTTGTTTTCATAGTCAAGGAGACTTGACCCACTCAAAGCTTTCTAACACAGATGGTGAGCAGGAAGCTCACCCAGGAGTGTAAAATCTTCCCTTAAAAAGAAGATTTTTCAAGATTCTTTAATCATACCTTGTTTGGGCTTCAGCTTGGCACTGTGCATAGGTACCCATGCCTGCCTCTATGTGTTTATAGACATGTAAAACAATGGCAGATAAAGCTAGTACAAATATATTTTGTCCAAACATAGGGTAGTTTTAAACAGCTCCGGTATGTTGATTGATGATACTTATTCATAGCTTAGCTTGCCTGTGGGTGCAGATTCAAAGATCAGAATCATATATTCTTGAAACTTTCAAAATTTCAGGTTAAGTCCAATCAGAAAGCTGGTTGAATTTTGTGTATTACTAAGAAAATATGTGAAAATGAGACAATGTAAAAAACAAGGTTTTATTATCAGAAAATGTGCCCTTTTTCAAAAGTTATTTTGACAGCATAGTTTGTTTAATTATTTATGATACTTCAAAACATACTAGTAAATTATATCTAGTATATTTTGTAAAAACAGTGAAGTCATAGTAAGAGGAGGTATCACTGCAGAAGGCAGCTATTAAAAATTTGCTAGAAAGAGAGGTGAGACTGCCAGGATTTTTGTTGTATTGAGTTTGCAGCTTAGGAAGGAAAAACATAACAAACGACATTTATGTATAAATATTGTATGTGTAACTGTATATACAAATATTATGCAGGAAAATTTCAGTTTTTATGGCCCTGATCCTGCAAAGACTTATGTGTTTGCCTAACTTCACCCACTATCTACAGATCTTTTCACATGAGGAGGTAGGAATCCTGTCCAACACGGGCCCTATCTATGTTTCTATCTTACGCAGCATTAGTAGGTGTTAGGTGTTTTGGTGTTCTTCACATGTTTATCACTGTGTCATTTAGTCCTGCCACAGATCCCCATGCATCCACTCTACCTCTGTGTGACGTACAAAGTGCCATGCAGGAGTTTTAGTCCAAATCATAGAAATCATCTAGTCATGCTAATAGGGTGCTGCACCTAAGCTAATAACCATATAATTCAACTGTCTCCCATTCCAGAACTAGCTGAAGGATCTCTGCATGTTACCTGTTGTAAACATCTTGAGAAACTATGTTTTTGACTCCAAAGTCATGTTTGCTAAGAAAGGGATGTCTCTTTGTTGCTCCTCTACAAAACTAAGATACAATTATTTATGAATTGGTTATCCCTAGGTGCGAGGTGAGCCTGTACCAGCCTGTTAGCCCTTCGCTCCAGAAGCCCAAACTGCAGCTTGGAATAAAGGTTTGAAGAGCAATGGGAAAAATGGTGTCAGTAGTCAGAAGAAGCCTTTCTTGAGGGAACCAAACCGTTTTGTTTCCTGGGAAGGGCTAACTGTGCTCTCTCTGTTGTGAGTCTTAGGGGCACAGTGAGCTAAGACCAGCCTGAGTAATAGCATGAGCTAAGTACAGTATAAGTAACCATAAAAAATGAAGAACAAGAGGAAGTCAAGTATGACATAATGACATTATGAACCCATTAAATTGAGAAACTATTCAAACTTTTTTTCCAGTGGGAAAACTGACTATTTTCCAATAACGTTTTCCTTCTAGGCCCCGTGTTTCACAGCTTGGACCATTCGTGTTATTTGAAATGTTATTTGAAATCTTACCCTGAAGCACTTATGTAGTTCATGGAAAAATAAAATAGGATAACTGATTCAAGAAATTTTATTTTCTGCTCACATGTTATGTCCTTTAAGAAATACTAGTTTATAAATTTAAAGAGGTATATGAAAACAATTGTAAAGTCTCCATTATTTCCCTAGCTCAAATATGCACACCAGCATAGAGCGTGAGAAACAAGGCTGCCAGCAGTGAAGCCATAGTACAGGTCTGTGGAGAGATGTGCCAGTATCCCAGTGCTCTTCCCTTTATGACAAATACTAAATTCTTTAAGTTGGAGCTGGACTTGATCTTGGAGTTAAAACCCCACTGAGACATATGGGATAGTTTATAGCTTTTAGAGGCATTGCTTCAGGGCCTTTGCAGGCTCCTGTACCCAGCAGCATTTACGATCAGTTCATATTCTGCTTCTCACAAACCTGGAAGCCAGAAAGATATGGTATTTGTCATGAAAGACTAAGCTGTAGACACGTGCGTGTCCAGCATTTACGGCTTGATCCAGCCATGGTGGAGCACAGCAACTGAATCGCAGCACATGGGAGTGGTGCCTCCTCTAGAACAGGTGGTGAAAACAGGCCCATGGCCAAAGGAAAGTGAGGTGGATGTAGCAGAGCAAACTCCATGTATCTAAGGGCTCTTTGGCCATTTCACTAAAATACAGTGCCTCTTTTTCTAAAACAGAGTGTCAGGGATTGTTTACCAGGATTACCAGGATAATGGTTTTACTTCCCACCTGAAAGACATTATAATGTTGATAAGTTTCAGTAAAATATTTAGTCAAAACTTCCAGTATCATCTCTCACTGCCTCTTGGTCATGCCCAAGAGGTTTACCCGTCAAATACAAACAAGACCTGACCCCTGTCTGGAAGCTCTGACAGATTCCCAGCCCAAAGCGATATGACTGTAGGTGTCTTGTTCTGGGTGACCTACTTGTTTCTGTGCCCTTCAGTGTTTGTGGAAGAGTAGAATCTCATTTCTTTTTTTTTTTTTTGTGACAGGATCTCGCTGGAAAGCTATGACAAACCTAGAGAAGCAGCCATACTATGAGGAGCAGGCCCGACTCAGCAAACAGCACCTGGAGAAATACCCAGACTACAAATACAAGCCAAGGCCAAAGCGTACCTGCCTTGTAGATGGCAAAAAATTACGCATTGGCGAGTACAAGGCTATCATGCGCAACAGACGCCAGGAGATGAGGCAGTATTTTAATGTTGGGTATGGGACCTTTAAAAACTACCACTCATTTCAGAAAAAAAAAAAAAAATTCAGGGGGAATTCTTAATTCAGTGTGGTAAATTTTACATTTTATTGGCAAGAATATTATATATTGCTGACAGAATATGAAGCTTATACTTTAAAAAAGTGTGTTCCAGGAGGAAGTTAGGCAGTTAGGGATTTTTCTGTTGGCTCTGCAGTATACTTAATCTTACAGCTTCAGCCAACTATCTCATTTCCACTCTGATCATGCAAAAGGAAAAAAAAAAGCTTAAGATTTTTCCAATGAAACCTAAGTCTTCTAATAAAGTCTTATAAGTATTACTTTATGATGAAGCCTCAGAGAGCCTATCTGAATTAATCTATGGTAATGCCTCTTGATCCAAAAGTCAAAAATACAAGTTTGCATTCAGTATGATCTGTGGCAAGTGGTCTGCAAAATGACTGCTGAACATGCTGAACTTGAGCTGGAATACGGACTTGGCTCGGTTAATTCATATCAGGCATGAAGTTGTCTGCATTGTTCATCGTGACGGCATTTGATGTAGTAGAGAGTGTCTTCCAGTACAGTAAGCTAAATGCTTTGTGTTTAGCATAAATTTCAAGCAGACTGGTTCTGATAAAACAGCTAATAGATCAGCTTTGCATGATTAGATTAATATCTGCCTAGAAAACTAGCATGTATTTTCCTTCTGCAAAGACTCTTTGGTTTTGGTTACAGCAGATGAAAAGAATCGGAAGTAATCAAATATTCTGCAATATTTCTGTATTCACTCCAGAAAACTAAAACGTGCGCACACACAAAAAAATCAAAACCAGCAAAAGGAACAACCCTCAGTAATGATGGAATTTGTGTTCTGTTTCATCTGATTTTGGAATAATTTTCATATTAACCGAGTTGCACATCTCTCTAGTTAGCGGCTAGAAGTAGCAATAAAGGAGAGAATATCTGTCCAGCAACTGTTAAGTGTCATCAGACTGTGTTTTAAAGCGCTACAGTGTGCACTGTTATAATAAGCCGCTCAGCAGAGAAATTTGAGCTGCTTAACCCTGTGGTGCTGGCAGGTCCAGTGATCCCAATGGTAAGCACTGAAACAAACACAGGGAATTCAGCCAACATTTGGCATCAAGAGATTAAAAAAAGAGGAGGGGGGCTTTCTGGAAAAAGAATAGGTGGCAACAGAGCCCCCAAAACACTGCTTATCTGGTTAACATGCATGCTTCATCATGGGAAAAAAAACTAACCTTGTAACATTCTGCATATTATTTAAGCTTTGCAAACAAGGCTGACATTGAAATCAAGACATTGCTGGAAATAATTTGCACTGTGCCATTAAAGCACAGAACCTGGGGTGAAATCTTTATAGAAGTTACTGACTAAGTGGCCAATGGCTGCAGTGGGGTCAGTGTTTGATGCTGACAGTCACAGCACTACAGTTGCATTCCTGGTTTTGGTTCTCCATCTGCTGCATCATCCAATATGGGTCATTTAGGGCTACACTTCTAAACACCAGTCCAGCTCCTGCCCAGGCACCGAAATGAGTGACTGGGTTTACAAGAGCAGTGGCTATGCCAGCTGCTGGGATGTGCTGAAAGCCAGTCTGAAGACATCACAATGGGAAGAGTGGGCATTTTTTGCAACTCAGACTTAATGCTTCCCTGACTCAGTGTCCTCGTGTTCAATGGCAGTGTGGGAAGCTCACCTCACTGGCTTGCTGAGACCCATGGTACGTTCATATCTGAGGACTGCTTTCAGGTCCTTTGGAGTGGACATCCTATAGAAGTGGAAAAATACTATTCTTAAATTATTTAATATTTGAAAAGCACTCTGAAAAGCACCATTTAAGTGCGAAGTGTTCATATTGTTAAATATTAAAAGCAATTTAAGTGTGCTGAATCTTGTTACAGAAATGCTGACTTCAGAAAACAAAAGACTTCCTATTGAATTCAGAATAAAATGCAAATTAGATCCACTCTCTACTTTAAGAGCTATATCTTCAGCTGTGCCAACTTCTGCTTGTTTCAGAAATGTGAAAATAGGACTGTGCGGAGGGAGGCCTCACTCAAATAGCAGGCAGGAAGTATCTGGAAATGCAGCAAGCAATTCCAAACAAATGTAAAGCTGTTTGGCAGAGGAAAGTCTTTCAGGATCACTGTACTGTGCAAGGCTTACTGTGCAGCTAGGGCACAGGCAGGCACAGGAACAGGGGAGGGTTTCAGTCTTAATTAAGAATGTTCATCTCAAGAGATTCTGCCCTGTCTCCTGTGGCAAGGCTTTTCAGCGCAGATGGACACACCGCTGATGACATTACAATGTGCAGCATGTACTGAAGAGTATTACTGCAATGGAATTACTTCATGCAACAGGGAAACAAAAGGAGCATGAATTTTAAACCTCTAGGCTTGTTGGGACCCTGAAGCTTCTCAGGGAAACAAACACTGGTATAACACAGCTAGTGTTCTTGATGCAAAGGGAATTTCTATGGCCTGGAATAATTCTTCTTTCATTACTGCAGACAGGTTTCCAAGGCTTAGGCACTGTATAAAGGCATCCTGTAGAGGATTTTCTCAAATGCTCATGTTGCTTGCCTGTTTTTTATTTATTTTTAAATAATGTATGTTTCCATTTTTAAGTCTGCCTTTTCCTAACTTTATTCACCTTCCTTCAAAGGTTCTGCTTTTCGCAAGTGCCACTCACTGTGGAAACCTATCACCTTCCAGTGGGAGGCCCTTAGTTATCATCCTATAAACCCATGTTGGTCCCAGAAAGCCCACTGTTCCTCCCCCGAATAATGGCCAAGTCTCTGAGTGAACGTGGAGTAAATATTGCCTCCTCAAAGAGACCTGCCTTGCTATTTGCTCCCCATTCCCCATGCAAACTTACCTGGGCTTCACCACATCTCTCCTGTTGGCAAGGTGTTACTTTCATGTCTAGTCCTGCCAGCAGCTTGGATTATTTAAAAGCAAGATTTTTTCAAAGTACATGTTTTTTAAGTTGGACCGCAATTGAAAGGATGTTTATTTTTGGCTGGCAGCTCAGGGGATGCAGTTTCCCCAGTGAGGAAGTTTGCATCCCAGGCAGGCAAGCTGAAGCTCTGTTGTTCAGGTGTGGCAAGAGATGTTTACAGAGGTGGGGTTTCATTATCAGTGGTTCGGGCTTGATGTTTATTTCAAGAGCATCAGTTAGTGAGTCTGGACTATTATTAGAAGGGTTGTCTTGCATGGGCCATCCAGGAGCTTCCTCTGCATGCACAAGAGCACATGCTATGGGTTTGCAAAGTGCTGTTGTACTTGCCCTCCCTTTACTCCCTCCAGTATTCAAATGTCCTTTTACTTTTTCTCCATGGCAGGCAACAAGCACAGATTCCCATTGCCACCGCGGGCGTAGTTTACCCAGGAGCCATTGCCATGGCAGGAAAGCCTTCCCCACATCTGCCCTCTGAGCACTCGAGCGTCTCCAGCAGCCCAGAGCCCGGGATGCCTGTCATCCAGAGCACTTACGGCATCAAAAGCGACGAGCCTCATATCAAGGAAGAGATGCAGACCGATGACGTCAATGGAGAAATCTACGATGAATACGATGAGGAAGAGGATGACCCCGATGCAGACTATGGCAGTGACAGTGAAAATCACATTGCGGGGCAAGCCAACTGATCAGGGTCCAAATATCTCGTGACCTACAGGACTTCAAGGAGAAATGAAAAAATAAATAAAGCCCCATCTGGTTTATCCTTGCCAGTGGCCAAGCACATTAACTTTCTCATACACTGACTGTTACTTTAACTGTTAGTCTTAAATAGTTGGGACATCAGCTGACTAATCGACATCAGCCTGCATCAGAAGAAAAAAGGCTCAGAAGAAAGGAAACAAAGACAATGACGACAACAACAACAGAATGATATAAGCTATGGGTAAAATAATGCCAGTAATTCAGCTGCTATACCCAAGCACTGAAGTCTTACCCGTCGACCTTTTATTATTATTATTTTTTTTTCAAATAAACTTTATGGCTGTTTGTTCTACAATGTTCTAGAAATTCTCACTCAGGTACACAGTGCCAACAAGTGGCTTGTGAATGTGTTTTGTTGTTTTGTGCTACAGTTTAAAGAGAAATAATTTTTTTTTGGTAATGCACCTGACAGGAAAGAAAAAAGATAAAATTCCTTTTGCTCCCTCTGTCTCCTCCTCCTCCTCCTCCTCAGAGGTCAGAGTGTGTGTGTATGCGTGTGTGCCTGTGCGCGTGGCTGGCAAGGAAGGAAGTGGGGAGTCTGTTTCTGTTAACCCCAACAAGCAATTACTTCCTTTCAAGAGAGGACTTCTCTTCATCAGTTGCACACCATACTGAGTCTTTGAGCAAGTGCCAAATGTGTACTAAAGCGCTGAACTAGTCCAATTTGCATTTTTGTTTGTTTGGTCTCTTCTTCTTTTGTTTTTCTTTTACTTTTCTTTTGCTTCCTGCTCTGTCTTAGGTTAGGACAGTGTTTTATCTCAGACAATCCCTTGAAGAACCTGATATACCAGCAGCTGGTGAGATTAGACTTATATTTTTGGTTTTGGTTTTGCTTTTTAAAGGAAACTGTAGGTGCCGTTCTCAGGTGAAAAAAGAGAGAGAGACATAAGAAATTTAGAGAAAAAATATTTTATGGTCTTGGATTTTCATGTGTGCGTGTTTATGGTACTAATAAGAATAATATTGGACTATTGTGAGCAAAAGCATGTTCCAGAATGAAGTCCCGCACCCTCCAAATAACTTGGTCTGTAAGGAGCCTTTGCTTTTAATTTACACTTCAAGTGGCAGCATATACAACATAAAAAAGGCTTGTCCAAAATGTGATTTGTTCTGCACATGACAGGGCAACGAGAAATGTTACCTCCTTGCTGAGCATAATCAGGTTACCATGATGTCCCGTTTTGATGAACTCAAAACCTTCAAGGTGGCTGAATACTGATCTCTGATTCAAAAAGTTACTTTTTTAAACTGACAAAAAATGTCTTTTGCACTTGCAGAAATCCATTTTTATCAGTGGGCTGTTTGTGTCGGAAGGAAGACTAATAGCTATGAAGAGATTTCCATATTCGAAGTAGGCATGCAAGAACCTGAAACTTTGCGGTGTTGAGTTTCCTTGGCTGCTGCCTCTCACAAGTCAAAAATGGTTCTCCTGGGCTAAAATATTTTCAGCATTGTTCTAGAGCCCTTAGATATGTTGCTTGGGCAGCTTTGCCTTCCTTGGGCAACAGCAACCAGATGAGGAGAGTGGATTTATACATCTGTAATCCTAAGCCGAAGTTAAGCCTTTTTTATTTCAAATAAGGTAACTGAATGTTACGCTTTATTTCAGAAAAAAAGATTGTAAATGCAAGTGAATCAGAGTCTCTTTTCATCTCCACACTCTGATCTTCGTATAGAAGGAAAGGACCTTGGTTCGTATAGCAAGACAGAAGCGATAGATCTAAACAAGCCAAAAAGGCTACCCCTCACTTCAAACAGCAGCTATCCAGGAGTTCTTCTCTGTCCATTCAAGGAATGTGTTAGGATTGTACTGAGGCAAAAGCCTTCCTCTGAGTTGGTTTGCTAACTGAGGATGCCACCTTTATATTCATGTTTCTTCTTGGTAAATTCCTACTCCTAGGGAGAGACTTACTGCTATTGTTGTCACTTTTAACTTGTTAAAATAACCCTGTGCATTTTCGAGCCAGTGAGATGAGAGCCCAAGCATTCACCAGAGCCTTGATCTTCTATACTTGGCAAGATTGGTTTTTGCAAATGGTCCCTTAATCAGGCAAATTTAGCCCTTGATGCAAACATCCATATAAGTCAGGTGGTGCAGGATGAAAGGGGCAGGCAGGAGGAGAGACTGGGAAGGAGGACATGGTGGGTCTTGTCTTTGCCTCTTGAAATCCCACTTGAAGTGTAAGTTGACCTCTGCAGACCTTGTGAATAGCAAACAAGCAAATGCAGTTGAAGACTTAGGACAATACTCCAACGAGCGGTTTGGACATGTGATAGTTTTACCCTGCAACATCTGTTTTCTTTTTCTCCTGTTTTCCCTTTTGTGATTTCCACCTCTGCCTCAAAACAAATCTTTTCTATTTTCTCTCTCTCAGAAGATTTGCTCTGAAGTTATGCTTGGAGTAGCTGATCATATCCTCCATGTCAGAGAGGGTTCTTTTTGTTTGTATTTTACGACTCTATTGGGTTGGGTTTTTTTTCAGTTGAACTGCCTCTTCTTGCTAGTGTTGTAATGGTAATTATAATAATAATGGTCAGCTGTTCCCAGATTAGTAAATTATGTATAATTTATTTTATCCCCCCCCTTTTTTAACTTTATTTTATTCTGTTCTAATTTGGCAGTGCAGCAAATGAAGCTGTTAGGCTATTTAAAATGGATACCCCTCCCCACCTTGCCTTTTTATATATATA